CCCCCCTACGTTTAAAATCGTTTCAAACTAAATTATCTGACCCTAACTAGTCGTTACTAAACCCGGCTGTGTTTGTAAACATTTAGAGTGAACACAGCTCACTAAGACCATGTAGGGGTGGGGGTGGTAGGGAGCGCGTTTACAGCTTGTTTTCCGGTTATTGGAAATGGCTCAAAAGTTGATACGTATCTACTATTTTGATATGAAATTTCATCAACCTAGCTGTAACGGTACTCAAATTATCGTGTTTACAGACACACACACAGACACACACACACACACACAGACATAGGGACAACTATGTTTTTCCGACTCAGGGAGCTGTAAAACATCGAGATTTGAAAAAATTTCAATTTCTTTTGCACGATTACAAGACTTTCTCTATACTTCGTATATACGAGAATGTAAAAAAAAAAATATCATGTTGGTGAGGTATAGACAGGGGTGGTGAGAAGTGGGACAATAATGTAATTTAGCAAAAACAATAAACGGTTCGATTTTTCAATAAAAATAATATATAGGCTAAGTACTTGCCTGTAAAAATGAAACTATGCCATTAAAATGACAACCTAATGTGAGATACTGACCGGCAGAGGTGAGAAGTTGGACGTCTTGTCCCAATTAACACCAAAGCTAGTTTGTGGCAGGGGCGTAGCTACCGTAAAGCTAGCGTAAAGCTAGCGTAAGCAAGGCAATGGGGCCCAAGGCAAATAGGGGCCCTTTTTCGAAAGTTTGAGGGAGGGGGGTGCAAATCGAGTTTGAAGGGGGGTGCAAATCGAAAGTCTGAGGGGGGTGTAGTGCAAATCAAAAGTTTGAGGAGGGGGGTGCAAATCGAGTTTGAAGGGGGTTGCAAATCGAAAGTCTGAGGGGGGGGGGGGGGGGGTGGGAGTGCAAATCGAAAGTTTGAGGAGGGGTGCAAATCGAAAGTTTGTCCCCGGTCGCCGGGAAGGGTCGCTACGCCTCTGAGGGGCCTACTAAAACTTTTTGCATAGGGGCCCAAAATTCCTAGCTACGCCACTGGTTTGTGGTATAGATTTTAATAAATCTTCGTTGGAATTAGCTCAAAATATACAAAAATCAGTTGTTTTTTTATCAGGCACCTCTTTGGGGAGGGCGGTGTACCCCCCCCCCCCCACACACAACATGTTTACTGCCTCCCCAAGAACAAAACAGAATTTATAAATATAATATAGGCCTACACTTTTACCAGTGTCCTCTAAAGAAAATTTAGTCCGCTTTCTACACCCCCCCTCTTCAGAAAGCTTCTAGTGTGCCCCGGAGAAAAACGTCTGAAAGAAAAACTGGGGACCGTTAAAGTAATACAAAAATATACATATTGTTAACATCAACTTATTCTCCAAACAGTGAAGTTCCCTCTCTCCCTACTGTTAATGTACCCAAGGGAGAGACATTACCTGTACAACTTGGCATCAAATGTGCCGAAGGAGCCATCCAGAGAAAACCTAGGTAATCCTATCGACTAAGGGAAACCACTCATATTTTATTAACACGTTTTTATTAACTCAGCTTCGCGTGTGTTTGTTGTTAAAATTGACATCGAAAATTAACCCACTTCTGATTGCTCAATAGATCTGAAATTTGGCATGTAGGCTACTTTCGCCTAACAATTTCAGATGCAATCATAAAAACTAGCAATTAGAGACGGTAATTAGCTTAATTTAATTACGCCCCAAGGACCATAAAATTGAGGACATGATTTCTAAAGATACCGACAAGACTGGAGGCTTATAGACACAGTTACTTCGGCCCCAATCGATGTGAGCGCGCTGGCCGTGATCGTATAGTGGTTAGTACTTCGCGTTGTGGCCGCGACAACCCAGGTTCGAATCCTGGTCGCTCAAGATTTTTTTAGTCCGTGTATTTATAAACACTTAGTCAATTCATACTTAATCAAGTCATTAGATAAAGTAGAAAATAAACTATATAAAAAACTTTTTTAAAAACCACGTTTTTCATGTGTAGCAACGGACTAAAAAGGAGAAAATAAAATACTTAAAAAAAACTTTTTAAAAAACCACGTTTTTCTTGTGGACTAAAAAGTAGAAAATAACTATTTACATACATTTGATGACAAAAAACGTGGGTCGGGCAGATGGGTCGGGAAATTTGATGGTGAACGTACCCACGTTTTTTGTCATCAAATGTATGTAAATAGTTATTTTCTACTTTTTAGTCCACAAGAAAAACGTGGTTTTTTAAAAAGTTTTTTTTAAGTATTTTATTTGAGTTTTCTCTCCGAGGTAGGTTGCAGTGCTATGCAGCTACACTATATTTGAAGCCAGTAATTTAAATCATATTATAAAAATATATTGAATTAATTTACTTTTCAGAAGAAAAAGACAAATCTGCCCAGGGGATCGCTAGGTTCTAATAATGGATTATTTATTTTACTATAATCGAATCATGTCTTTAGTATTAAATTACATTTGTTTTGTTTTTATTGTTATTTACCATCTACTATGACAGCGACATACACAACTAAGTTGTATGGTTTCGATCACACGCTGTATGTTTTATTAGGGAATTTATTGTGAATGAATGTTGGTGCGAGAGATGATTAAAACGCATGGATTGATGACGCAGACGAAAGATATTTACGTTTTGCGATAGAAAGTGGTTGTTATGGGACCCAAGCTAGTGAGTTCAGGCTAGATAGTGAATGTGCAAGGTACTCCGTTTGATGTTGAAATCAAGGAAAGATGTATGTAAATTTAAATAAAGACACCAATAGGATCAATATTGAAGAAAAAAATAATAGACGTTGTTGTGTCAGGTGATTTGAATAGTTTGATGTGACTGATCATGGTTGTGGTATTATTAAAATGGTAGTGGATCGTGTCAGATCAAGCTTGACCCTCTCACAGTAGCACCAACATACACTAATGTCATTGCAATGATGAACTTATTGATTTTTTAAGAAAAAAAAAAGCATCTTCCCAGTTCAGTTCTGTCCATTATTACTTTAAAACAATGGTCAGCGAAAACAAGACAATAAGTAAGTCTGGCGATGTTAAAAAAACAACTGCCAACTCCCGCTGTGTCTGATAAATATTTGAAGAAGTTCAGTGCTTTTCAACACGGTTCAATAAATGTTGATAAAGTCAGTTCTCTGGTTAACTCTACACTCGACTAGGTCTTACGTAAAATAAATCTTTGTTTACGTATCAAAGTATCAACGACAGTAGCTCTCAAACTGGCAAGTGCGAAGCGAGTTTTTATTATATATATATATATATATATATATATATATATATATATATATATATATATATATATATGTATATATATATATTTATATATGTCATTATATATATATATATATATATATATATAAAGTTCAATTCTGTATGTTTGTATGTAAAATGTTTGTCGTGGATTACAAAGGAATATAAGAAAAAAAACGAAAAAACAATACTTCTATGGATTCAAGTGTTAGATTATTAAAGTACTCGGGGTCTAAATTTATGAGTTAAAAAATTAATATTGAAAGTGTTTTAAAATAATTTTCATTTTGCGTACTTCAAATAATAATTTTTAATATAAACATTGCATAAAATTTAAAAAAAAATTATTAACGTTTATAAAATTTCTAATTGTGACTGAAAATTATTTGCATTTAGTCCTTTAGGCTCATTACGTCCGTTGATTAGAAAAACACAGTTACTTCCCTTTAAAAAAACATCGGGTGGAACAGAATTTACTTTTTATTACTTTGTTTTGGTGTTGGGATAAATAATTACATAATTAGCGGGGATTGATCAAGTGCAAATGTTGTAGGTATTTTTAATACTGCCTTTTATTTATTCTATACACTGAAGTTACTGTTTACTAATTATTTTTTAAAATCAATAACAGTTAATAAGCCAGGTCCTACATGTCCTATATGTTTATAATAATAATAATCAAATAAATGTATTTTTTTGAAACATACGTTGTGTCGCCGTGTACATCATATTATAACACATTTTGTATGTTTCAGTTATCTTGTCCTATCATACTGATCTTATTATTATTTTCAATTAATAAACCAAGGATAAACCGTTTTTTAGAAGTTTGGTTTGATATAGGCCTATGTTATGGTTATACCAAAATAGTAAAAAAAAAATAAACGCTTTGAAAAGCAAAAAAAAAAAAAAATATGGGAGATTTCAGGAACGTGTCAAGATTTCTCGCCCGCTTAAACCCAGCGATATTCCACCTGGGACAGTGACAAACAATAGATAACCACTGTTCCGCATTCAGTGGGTCCAATAGCTTAATGATCTTTGTCAGGGGTCTCCAAACTACGGCCCGCGGGCCGGATGCGGCCCGCGATGTCCTCTCATCCGGCCCGCGGAGATCTTTTTGTCCACGGAAAAAAACGTTTGTTGGTGATGGCTGAGGAACTTTGCCCAGAAAAAATCAAAGACATGCCTGGAAGTGTGGAAGAAACTGGCCCCCGAACTGAAATTTGATAGGTAATGTGGCCCTTGGACTGAAAAGTTTGGAGACCCCTGATCTTTGTGATATACTCAATAATTAATTATCTTAATGCGATCACACGTACGATACTTGGCTAGGCCGGGCTAGGTGAGCACAAATGTGAAACGTAATTAGGAGATTGCAGTTGTCGGTGTAGAATTAAAAATCTACATGCCTGTCTATTATGGGGATGCTACATTTGCTTGTACAATCTTACCTTTACCTGGTCGTTCTATCTACATATATATATATACAATCATTCGTTTCATTTAATACTAGACTTGTAAATTTAAGTATACACCCCATACTGCATTTTTAATACCGTATAATAATTTACATTTAGTGAATATTAAATTATACATAAATAAAATATGTACATATACAAAAACAAACATATATATATATATATATATATATATATATATATATATATATATATATATATATATATATATATATATATATATATATATATATATATATATTGAATGCTGTGCACATCAGAGAGTGATTTCTGCATGGGTATGAGAGGCGCCATCAGTGTCAAAGAAAAATGTTACATATATTTTAATCAAGAATTATCTTGGTATGATGCACAGGTACGGATTAATAACTGAAACGATTATTGCAAACAGAGATTTGTATATAACCATTTGAATGTCACAAACTGGTTATATAACACTGTGAAATTTTTATATACCTATTAAATAAACGATCTTATAAATAAAATTAGACTAATAAATGAAATAGTAAACGTCTTGTGATCAATAATTGGCTTTTGTTATGTCTGGTAAAATACATTTAATCGTGTAATACGTTTAATGTATCATTACATGTTTATCACGAAAGCCAATAATTCTATATTTTTCGTCTAGTCTATTCACTATATATATTGGTTAATTAACAAACATGCCGGTGTACATATACTAATCAAACAAATCAGCTTACAGTTAATTATCTCATTACTGTTCTAGTCTTAACTATTGAACAATAATCAAACTCTAGAATTTAAAGTGTAATTTCTTGTACAGGATTACTGTAAGACCCATCTGTACAGAGGTACTTTGGCAGAGTTCCACACGAAGGAGGAAATAACTGCTGTGAAATCTTTCCCCAAGAAATCATTTTTAGGATGTAAGTCTTAGTGTAAACAAAATAAAAGTAAAGATTTATCTTAAGACCTATCAATCCGTTGTTTCTTGACCTCGGCATATGAAGGGATAATGTGGTCAGCACTATGCCCAGCCGTCTTTCCGTTGTCCAATTATTAAGTTAGGTAACCTACAGAGCTGACTTGAACCCGGATTCAAACTCGAGGCTTTCTGATCAGTAATCTAGAGCTCTACCTTCAGGCCACATCGTGCCATAGTATGGGTTATAAAAAAAAAGTTAATGAGTTTATTTTCAAGTTGAATTGATTCAAGAAATATTCCCTGTAGCCTCATGTTAGATTTATCCACAAACATTTCCCATCACTGTTACTGTTGTAGTGTTAATTATGCGTATTTAATAGTATACTCATATTTTAATTGAACATAACAAAACATTATTTGCTAGTATTGTTTGTATCCATCTAAATCATGTCACACTATGCTGTCCTCTCTCTTCACCCCCTTACCATAATTTTTAATGCCATTGTAAAGATACGTGTCTCCTTTGAACTTATAGACCTAAACTATTCTTATGTTTTCTTTAGTTTGGCTGGGCGCCAATGACCTTGCTAAGAAAGGTACATTCATCTGGATGTATTCAGGGCTGCAGATTGAAACTAATCACAGCTTGTGGGGTCTTCATCAGCCAGATAATGGTGGGAATAAAGAAGATTGTGTCAATCTGTTTTCCACGAATACAATGAACGACTACGTCTGTAGCAAGACATTGCCGTTCTTGTGTCAAACTGGTAAGAACTTAATGGAAAAAAATGTAATTATTGGCGTGTCCTTTTTTGTGCGCTAGACTGCTCACCCGAAGGTCTCGAGTTCGAACCTGTGCAGTGTTTCTTCCAGAATTTTTTCTCCGGGGGGGGGGGGGGGGGGCACTCGAAAATTTCGGGGAGGGGGGAGCGACTAAAATTTCGGGGGCGGACACTGTTAAAAGTATGTATTTTATATATAAGTTCCATTTTGTTCTTGTGGGTGGGGGGTGGGCAGTAAATTATCTTCGGGGGGGGGGGTCTAAACCGACCCCCCCCCCCCCCCCCCCCCCCGAAGAGATGCCTGGAAGAAACACTGTTCCGGGTCTCGAGTCTGTAAGACGTTCCCTAGTCTGATGAAATCTGATTCACGACTGAGCATAGTGCTGACCATCCTAAATCCTCGTATGCATAGGTCATTGAAACAGATGAAATCTACTTTATCAGCCCCATGTTTCATAGGTCCGAATGGCGAAAGGTGATGATGTTTTCGTGACCAACGTCTTATTAATTGCCAGAAGTAATACACCTTCAAATCTTGTCATTAATTCTGTATTTATATTCCCCAGCACCCTATGTCTGATACATCACCCTATGTCTGATACAGCACCCTGTCTGACATAGCACCCTATGTCTGATACAGCACCCTATGTATAATACAGCACCCTGTCTGATACAGCACCCTATGTATAATACAGCACCCTGTCTGATACAGCACCCTATGTATGATACAGCACACTATGTATGATACAGCACCCTATGTCTGATACAGCACACTATGTATAATATAGCACCCTGTCTGATACAGCACCCTATGTCTGATACATCATCCTATGTCTGATACAGCACCCTATGTCTGATACAGCACACTATGTCTGATACAGCATACTATGTATGATACAGCATCTTGTCTGATACAGCACCCTATGTATAATACAGCACCCTGTCTTATACAGCACCCTATGTCTGATACAGCACCCTGTCTGATACATCATCCTATGTCTGATACAGCACCCTATATCTATTACAGCACGCTGTATGATACAGCACCCTATGTTTATGTCTGATACAGCTACGTATGTCTATATCTGGTACAGCAACCTATGTCTTTTACAGCGAACTATCATATACTTTATTAAAATTTTCTCTTTATTAAACTCGTAAGCCAATATTTGCAATGCACAAACCAAATTCTAAATAGGTGGCCAATCATATTTAGATGTTTCCTGGACTTTGCTTATAACGACTATCTTGATCTGCTATCGATTGTTGCTGTTTTTTTTACTTTACAACAGCCAAGCTCCAATACAAAACTCACATAGTTAAATAATTAAGTGTTCAGGGGGTAGACAATCGCATGGGCGTTCAAGTACTAGCTCTTTCTACCGATTATCTATTGATGAGCCAGACCGCTCTGCCGCTCTACCGATCTGCGTCTACCTACAGCATTGTCCTTAAAAATGTCGGCTTAGAAACTCATACAATGATAAACTCTGCTTACCATAGCAACCAGGCCAGCTGTACAACCCATCACCGTCACCACATCACACAGCACCACGCCTTCGACTAACACCCCCACCACTCTATTACTCAATCGTCACCGACCCCACCGCTACAAGACGCCATCGACAACCCCCCCCCCCCCTCCGTTACACATCTTCTCAAGCATCATTTCCCCCCCCCCCCCCCCCATTGCTCACCACACCACAAGATGCCTGTCACCATTGTCCCACTCCCCTCCCCACAACAGCACACGAGTTCTTAGACTTAAACCTCCATCACACATAAACCAGCATCACCTCATTGCTAATACACCACAAAAAGCCTTCGACCATCGTTCACAACATACCGAGTGTAGGGCAAAGGCTGACATGTAAAAAGCCGACAAGCTTTTATGTAATAAAGCGCAAAAAAGAAAAAAAAATTCTTTAATTATATAATGATACACTACTATTTAAATAACCATACAGATAAGCGTAGATCTCTTCCTAAATATTAGTAATGGTATATAACAGTAATTTAGTAATCCAATTTTCTCTTTACAGTTATTGCAATAATAGTGCATTATAATATTAGAGTATCTTTATCCATTAGCTTCACTTAAGGTACTATTTGGATACTAGTGTGGGTAATACGTACCGTTTTGTAAATATTTAGTCTTAATTACTGCGCGTTACTCTTAAAGGATTACACATCAAAAACATAATTTTGGGTATTGTTTACAATAAAAAAAATCAACGTAAAATAAACTGTTTCCAACGTTATTAAGCAAGGTCTGCGATGCTTGAAGGACGTCAACACACATCAGACTCATATGATTTGCGCTTGCATTTAGCCGATGAAGACGATAAAACTCTAAAGATGGGATCGGTGTAGGCCTATGCCACTGTATGCACATATTAAACCGCTGGGGTTCGGTACCGCAAATAGGTTACATTTTTTGTTGTTGATATTACTATAATTTTCATCAACAGAGTATCTGATACAACAAAGAATACAAGGATGTTGACAACACAAAGACTTCTGTTTCAGTTTGGGTTCTTTACTCTCATTTTCTGTTGCAGCTCAGAGTATTTCCTCTTGTCGTATTGTCGTATATTAGCATCTGCCCTAAGCTCGTCCACCAAAGTCTGTTTTCTTTGCTTCTTAGTGAGACGACTGCTGTAGAAATCAGAGCCTTCATCCATCACGGTGCCCATCTGGAAATATTTAGGCAATCCTTCCTGTCTTTGTAAAACTTTTTGGGGTCCAGTGCTCCTCTCATTCTTATAAGTTCCATGTCATTCTTTTAGTTTATCAATGTCTGGCACCTTCATTCCAAACCATATGTCACCAAGTGTTTTCTCTCTCTCAGCTCTTCTTTCCTTCCTGAGTGCTCTGCGTCCTTTGGCTGGAGGTCTGACATCATAAATAGAGGGCACTTCAATATCCTTTACAGCTGACTTTTTCTCTGATTGTAATTTGGGTGCAGAGCTTTGACCACATAACCAACTGGTACCTTCTTTTCTAGTCTTGTCAAACCAGTTATCAAATGCGTCATCATCTTGAACTTGAAATTTTTTTTTGGATCATGCATGATTCCAGTCTGTTTAGGTTTGGAAAACTCCTCCCCCTTGGTGTTTAATCATCTGAGTAGCCTCATATTTTCAGAGCTGTCCCTGATTGCTGATTTTTATCAATTGTTTCGCCAAAAAACTTTTTGACACACAATGTTAATCTTTCTTCATCATAGTCATGTAAACAAGACAGTCTGAAGTTTGTATGCTTAAGTTGTTTGTCTGGAATATTTTCATTTGAGTCAGAACTATCTTCGTCATCACTGGCACTAGATTCATCTGATCCTGAAGTATCCTCTTCATCTGAGCTATCTATTAATGTCGGTTGATTATTCGTCAAGTTTGGCTTTTTAACATCGGTATCTGCATCGGACTCCTCTATAATAGCCTCTTCTGAATGTGCTCGGAGTGTAGTCTTTTCGTTTTGTGACCCTCCATCTGAGTTATTAACTGTGTTCCTTTTCTTTGCCATTCTCACAATAGGGGAGATTACTTAATATTTTATTAAGAGAGGTAGAAAACATTTGGTTTCCCTAAAACTCTAATAGGTTACATTTATTTTTTTTGAGTAATTATATATTACAGCTAAATAATTTTTTGAACTCTTTACAAAGAATCAATTTGTTATAGGAAACTCTATTAGGTTACAAACACATTAAAGTAAGCAGAACGATCTACGAATGTATTATAAATCAAAGTCGAAAACTTAAATAATAATTACAATATATAAAGAAATATATTGCTTTCATAAAGTAAATGTAATCAAACGTAATAAAAAGCTATGTTTACTTAATTCATTTAATCATCGAATTATGTACAAAATGTTTTTAAAGGTTAATATTTTTATCTATATTTACACAATGTTATAAAATACAAATAGATATTAATACACTTCTAGTTTTAGAGGTATATTAAATCATACATTTAGTTACTTCCCTTTTAATGTGTTTCTGTTATAAATGCAATGTTTCATTTTTTAAAAATGTCTGTATGAGTACTATTATATTATGTGTGTAAGTGTGTGCGCTATATGCACGTCTGTGTTTTTGTGTGGGATTTCGATTGAAATCTATGTATTCCACTTTTGAGAATCGCCTTAATGAAAATAGCAGTGCGCTGTATTTACCGTCAACTACTGTCGTCTTTAGTAAAGTTAACTCAGTAATGTTCTGCGGACTCGAACCCGGATTCAAACTTTCGGGTTAACAGTCGAACGCACTACCATCGACCACGCCTTCGCATGTCTTTAGTTTTAGCCTACTCTAAAAGCGATATAATTCAACTGGCTTTTTTTTTTGTTAAGAAAATCAAACTCATAACAATCGTTTAGTGCTCTAAAAAAGTTGAGTCATTGTGAATTAATCCATTTTCATGCAGTTTTACTCCAGCACGTCGCCGTGGTGCCGGCACTAGTTAAATACCAGACAGCTTATCTACAAGTGACGTCCGGCTACACTTTTCAAGACGTGTCTCTGGTGATACAAGAACACAATGGTGAAGGTGTTAACAACTCGACCAACGTGACTCTCACGTCATGGGAATCAATAACATATCCAGTAAACGATGTTGCCTCATTGTCAAGATCAGGTAGTGTATAGTATCAGGTATTGTATACTCAGCACGTAGTGTTTAATCTACAGGTATTGTATACTTTACAGGTATTGTTTACTTTTCGGATATTGTATACTGTACAGATATTGTATGCTCTATCAGGTATTGTATACTGTACAGATATTGGATGCTCTATCAGGTATTGTATACTTTACGTGTATTGTATACTTTATAGGTATGGTGTGCTAAAGAAGGTTTTGTATGCGTTCATTTCTATAGCATGTTCCATTATCGATTAGTATTAACAGCTGATCTATAATATAACATGGTGGAAGCCCCCAGCTGTTGTGTAGGTTCTTAGGTATCGTAGTTGTGTTTTATAATTGAAAGTCTCTATCTGAAAAGTTAAAAAAATCAAAGGTCAAATTATAATGCTCAAACTTTGTGCATAGAAAATTATTTGGAAAAATTTGTAGTGATAAATGTTTTAAATTTTAATATAATATCCTACAAATGAAATTAGTATACTTGAAAAGAACAAAATTCCATAGCACTTATTCACATTAAAATCCCAACCCTAACGGTTTTACTCGAATATACTAGAAAGTTTAGGGAAAATCACTCCGCTCTAGGTTTCTAGATGCACAAAATTAAATTTGAAATAATAATTTACAGACACCCACAAGAGCTGTGTTAGCATTCATTTAACTCAGCCTGTCACAGTTGTGCTCTACGTCACAGACAACCAACACAAAATGATTGCGTCAACTCTCGTTTATCCAGCCCGAATGTTTGTATTGTCTGAGGCTTACTTTGTTCTACCATTTCACACAAACGGCAATTGTAGGTCAAGTAACGCGTACGATAATCTAACGTTACTATTAGAGTCCACTTCAATATCCTTAATGAAAATATTATATTAAAATGTACAACCTCCTCTAAACCGATTTGCCAATTAAAAACTCCTAGTCTTAGCTCTACACCAGTGGTGGCTTGTGCTAGGGGTCATCTATAAATGACGTCACGCTTTTTTTGACGATTTTTAACTTCCCCAAAAAAGTGACGTCACACCATCTGAACCTCCACCTCTCCCTCTCATCACACACCGTCACTAAATTACGGACCCCCCACCCCCCTCCCCCTACGAGTGTGACGCGATTTATGGACAACCCCCTAGAGAAAGAATAACACACCGCAAACATTATCAATGTAAGTAGAAAGTAAACTTCCCTTATGGGCCAGGTAACCCATAGAGTTCACCTATTTTTCTGGTCTCAATGTAGCAACACTAAATTAATGTCAATTGATGTAAAACAGGACGTGTAAATAAAATATTTTGGCAAAACTATGCTAAATAAACAAACCAATGAAGTAGCTAGATCTAGTTGACAATTAAAACAGCAAACTATTTTCAGTTTAATTTTTCAGAGTTATGGAAGACAATCCTATTTTTAATGGGAGACAATCCTATTTGTAATGGGAGACAATCCTATTTGTTATGGTAGACAAGCTTTTTTGTTATGGGAGACAATCCAATTTTTTATGGGACATAATCCTTTAAGTTGTAGGAGACAATCCCATTTGTTATAGGAGACAATCCTTTTTTGTTATGGGAGACAATCCTATTTTTAATGAAAGACAATCCTATTTGAAGTGGGAGACAAGCCTTCTTGTAATTAAATTTTTCCAATTTAGAAATCAAGACGATTTAAAAAAAAAAATTATCTTGCATAGGTCAAAAACAATCAGTTTAGTTATGATACATGCTCAATTCTTAAAACGTGTAGGCTAATTTAATATTTGTTTCAACTCTATTACATCTTTATACACTGGCCATTGCATTTTATGTTTTTAAACTACGTTTTTAACCTGGTTCAACTGTTTTACCGAAAATGTATATTTTAATTATGAATATTTCCTCCTCAATACAACATAAAAAACGTATGTATTAGTGCTGAAACTTAATAACAGAGAATCAAATTGATGTTGTGGCGATGGTGGATGGTGGTACAGATGTTGACGTGTATTTCATAACACAAGACTGTGGGGCTAGACTCAACATTAATGTGTACACTGCTAGGTTAGTTTTGTTATTGTTTAAATGTTAGGTTTTAACTTTTGTTTAAATGTTAGGTCTTAACTTATGTACAGAATATTAGATTAAATTAGTAATTACTCGAAGCGTTAGGTAGGGTCCCCTTTGATCTATATGTTGAGTTATATAGAATAATTAAAACTCTATAAGTATTTTTTAATATAACCCGATTAGATTTGTATTCTTGACTTTGAACTTGTTGCTTCTATCCCCAGACTAAGTCCAAACTCCATGTTGGTGTCACGTGCTACACTAGAAACTCAATTTGAAACGTTTCATTTGAATCTAGTCACAGATCTACAGCGGGGATTTTTAACTGCTAGCAGAGCTGTGGCTGTGTTCTTGAGCAGGGTGAGTTTACATGAGTGATTAGTCAGTCTTTTGTGTGATGCAAGATTTGTTTACGTTACAATAATTAAATGTTAAACATGTACAAGTTCATCGTAACACAAGCTAAAATTTGATTTCGAACTGTAACAAGTACTACATTTGTATGACAAAACAAATAATTGTTTTAAAATCTCAACACCTTATTCATTTTTTTTTCGTGTTAATTTCAGTCTCGACCAGACACACCTGAGTACAATCTTTCTATTGATGAGATGTTACCTGTAGAGTACATAGGTACAGAGTACATCACCTTCCAATCGTTACCGTTGACAGAAGTTAATGACACGTTTCTGTTGGTGGCAGCATACGCGGACACACACGTGAGTCAAATCCTTTGGTTACAACGGTCAGTTGCTAGCTTGGAAACCAGATCTATTGATTTGAAATTGTATACGATTTAGCTTTCCAAAAGAATAGTTTTGCAATCTATTAAAAAATAAACCGGGAGTGATCTCCCCTAAACTTTCTCGAATATTCTTATATAACTCGGAATATAGACATGATTTTTAATTAACTTAAACTTTTAAAATTAGAATAGAATCTCATAGAAAAAAGAATTACGCCCCACGCGAACGCCGAATAAAGATGTGTATAATAGTGCGCAATATTATTAGTACTTTATAAATTTACATGCGTTTTTTGAAAAATCGGAAATAGCGTAAATTAGTACTTTCGGTCAACGGAAATTACTCAAAATTTGACAGAAGGTAGAGAATTAGATCATTTACTTACATGCTAAATTTCATTTATCTATCTGAAATAGTACTCAAGTTATAGGCTTTTGAAAAATTCAAAGTAGAAAAAGTACCACTATCGGTTATTGAAAATCGCTCAAAAGTTGATACGGATCTACGATTTTGATAAAATACTTATATATGAAATTTCATCAGCCTAGCTGTAACGGTACTCAAGTTACCGTGTTTACACACAGACAGACAGACACACAGACACACAGACATACGGACAAGATGGCAAAATTATGTTTTTCCGTATCAGTGAGGTGTAAAACGTCGAGATTTGCGAAAATCTCGATTTTTTTTTCTTGCACGATTACAAGACTTTATATATACTTCGTATATACGAGAAAGTAAAAATGCATAACATACAGGATGTACAACAGATGTTATATGATTATCGAATGGTGTGGAATTATGTGCTTATAAAAGAATTTAGTGAAGGGTTTCTGCAAGATGTATTAACTCCATATTCCTTCAAGATAAAAATCCCATCATTGGGTGTAAATATTAGCTTGTCGTCTGTTGGAGCCAGCAGAGTGGTGGAGCTGTCAGGAGGAAAGTTTCACTTTATACAAGGAGATGTTGGATTCTATTTGTACAAATGGCGGGCTACAGACGGGGGTATGTCAGAACTACTTCAATTTTAAAATTAGTTTAATCAGAATGAAATGTCACAAATTATTTTTAGTAATGTAATAA